ATCACCTTAATTGGAATACAAATATTTAAAATGCAGAACGACATCAATCGGACGCTGGACCCGATCGTGACAGCTATAAAGGAAATAGTGAAGACCAGTTATACTTCAAATAAGTAGTATAGACGACAACGAAGAGCAGATAAAGCTACGATAAGGCTTCTATTCTATGGTTACTAAGTCCATATTGTCATCTTAAGGCTTAATTGCATAATCTTGAAGCAAGAGAGAACATCATTGATATTAACGTTGAGGTTAGCTCAATTTGTTTGGAAATCATCGCTTCTAGCTTTTCGAAAGTGCTGTAGCTATGTGCAGCAGTGTTTTGTTGTTATTTTGTAATCTCTGCGAAAAGTTGTTGTTGTAAATTTGTTACTCAGTATCTGAACGAACACTTTAGGTCTAGGATTATTCACAGTCGACTTGTTCGGATCTTTATTGCAAAGTAGTGCCTAATATACTTGACAGCCTTTGTATTTGGCAATGTGATTTTGCAAGCAGTTGAGAAATTGAATAAAATTTTATTTATATTATTTACTTGTGGTATGATAATCGTTTTGTTTGAAAATACTTGTAGTTGTCTCTGCATTTTCCTCATTATTCTTATCAATAACATTGCATTTGAAGATTCAATAGTTTTACGTTTATTGCACACGATAATATGTTTCCAAAAATGCCAGGGTAAAAATACAAATACACTATAAAATATTGACTATTTGTACCCGTACTACCTGTAATTGCACTCACTGAATTCACGATGGGTACGAACTGCAGAAATAAACAGACTTTCTAATTTAAATATGTCAATAATTCAAAATTTAATTAAATTTGCAAGAATTTTCAAATAATTCTCAAAAAACTACATTGATATTCGAATCCTTCATTGTGGTATATAATTAACGCAATAAACCGAATAAATGAATTTACCAAATTCGATGAAAGTGATATTCAGGCAATTTCTGCATTAAAATTAAAGATTTTGGATGGCATTGAAGGAACTTGTATTCCAAATTTGAATGTATGGCACAAAGTGGTTTATTATTTTTATCCTCCAGTTTAATGAAATTGAAAGGTTTGACACTGCTGAAATAGCAGATATGAATGAGTTATTGGATTCATCTACACCAGAAGATATATAAAGAATATTTCAATTAAGCAATACAGCATCACCTTTGATGACTTTATCAGCAGTTAATTCTTCTTCAAATAACGAAGATAATTTCTTCTTTCTAAATCTGCTGCCATGTACAAATACTTCTTTAACAGAAGTTGAGAATGTGTCAGATGAACTACATATGTCGCTATTCTAGAGAAAATGTGGAATTTTTTGAATGTTATGAAGTGGTGGCAAAATAATGGCAAACGATATCCGAGATTGTCCAAGTTAGCACTTAAGTTCTTGCCCTTCCTGCTAGCAGTGTTTTCACTTGCCGGTAATATTATTACAGAAAAGCGCAACAGAATTGCGCCAAAGAGACAACAATCTTTTCCTAAATTCAGTTTACAACAAAAAATTATAAATTTTTTTAACAAAACTTACTCATACTCTCGCTATTTGTGAGTAGCGGAAGTGTGTTTTTGTGGATATTCGGTATGTTGAATTTTGATTTACATATGGATGTATATACACTAAGACTCTTTTTTGTGTTACTCAACCAATAACTAAAAAAAGGGAATAATTGTAGATCTCTGGAGTATAGCTTATTACTTTTGCACAAGATGCGTTCCAAAGTAAACAGGCGCAGCCATGTATATGTCGACTGGTGCTTTAGAATTTACTATCTTTATCGATTGTCCGGCGAGAATTTCATGACATTTTATTGATTATAAGTGAAGTTATTGCGTTTCAAGTGTCAATATGTTTCTGTTATCGGTGCAAAAATGAGCTTCGAACAAAGAGCCAACATTAAATTTTGCTTTAAAGTTTATAAAACTTTTACCGAAACATTTCAATTGATGAAACAGGTTTATAGCGGTTGCCTATCCCGTAGCAGAGTGCACGAGTGCTTTCAACGTTTTCAAAGGGGTCGTGAGAACATAAATGTCGATCAACATGTGAGTTAATCAAAATCCGTGATGACCGGAAACTCCATCGAAACTGTGCGCGAATTCATCAAAAATCAGTCGAAACCATATTGAAATTCATGGAAATGGAATTGAACATCTCTAAAACATCGATTTATTACATTTTGACCAAACATTTCAGCATTTGCATTTGGGCATTTGCTCATGAAAGGAAAGCATCAATCTGACGTAGAGGCCACTCAAAGGGCTTGCACCGGCATGTTGGCGGACATACCGGCCAACGAGCGAAAACACTCGTTCGACATACTTTTGGATCATGCAATTAGCTGTATTGAAGCAGAAGGAATTTGAGGCAATCCTGACATAAAATTTTAATTTTTATAAAGCATAAATTATATATGTATTTCATGCTCATAGGGTATAATACAAATAACACGTTAATTTTTATAGGAAATACACCATAGTTTAGTGCCACAAGCAATGGTGATGGTAATGAATTACTGTGTGTACCTTCAGACAAGAGTCGTTCACTTCATTACAACGGGATTCTTCAGAAGTGAGAACTTGAAAGTTTGTTTTGTCTTATGTGATACAGTTTATTCTGCTATATGTATAATGGTTAATGCCAAATTTAAAGCCTAATGAACGTAACAAAATTTCAAAAATTTACAAAAGTTAAGCAACAAATGGAATTTGTTTGCTTCAATAAATATTATTTAAAATTATTATTAAAACAATTATATCGTGAAAACAAATAAGAGGAAAAAGTATTATTTCACTTCAAATAAATCTTTCTTTAAACCTTAATCTGGCGAACCACCTCTATCGATTCATAGCTATTTTAAACTCGAATTCGGAGAATGGCATACTGGTTCATTTTAATATGAACTTTGATAAAAATCTAACTCCACGAATTGCTAGTAGCTATAAGACGAGATGAGTCAAATATTGCCGTCTGCAAATAATTACATAAATAATATGAATGTCTGACGATTAAAGAAGCCGCTATTATGCGGTATTGCAAAATGTTTTTAAAACATATTGGACTGGTTACATAGAACGTATGATGAAGACTAAATATTCAACACAAAAAAAAAACTTCTTTTCCTTCAATGACGAAATACAACAGCTTGATAGTAGACAGTACAGCAAAATATGATATTATATAATACCAACTTCCGAAAGGCTTATAGCCCTGACAGACGACAAAATTAATACGCATTAAGCAACGTTAATGCGCATTGAAATTTTATAGTGATAGACGGAAGATTTGTGAATTTAGACACCTGATTGTGAAATTTGTTTATTTATTTAAAAAAATGAAATGAAAATTTATAGAAGAAATTATTAATAGAAATTTTGGTATTTTTGGAATATCAATATAAATTTAACGAAAAATCTTTTTTATTATTAACTACGTTCAAAGTTAATAGAGTGAAATTAAAAGCAATGATTGACTGTAATGCGGAAAAAGTGTTCGAAAAAGGTAAGAATGTTGGAAAAATAGAAATATTAAAATTTGTTTTTGTTAATATACTTACACATGATTTAATTATCTTAATAATGATACTGTAAACGCAAAGGAGGCGGCAGACTTCAAGCGACATATCTCAAAAAATAGCAAAAATCGGTCATTTTTGAGTAGTGTTGCCCACTCAAATTTGGTAAATTCAGCTAATTGCACGAAATTCTTGTGCTTTACGAATTTGCATTAACATGGGTCAAATGCGCAAGTAAATGTAAATTAATCCCGCTAATGCAAATTAGCGCTGTCGTCTGACAGGGCTATTAGTAAGAGATAAACGCTTTCATTTGGACATAAATATAACATTGCAGCATCGAACTTCTTCTCTTTTAAACGTGTTAGCAAAGAATTTACAGCGCTTTACACAATTGAGAAGAATGTGCAATCCACCAGATATAGAAAAGTTGTAAAGGAGTGTCTAATCTTATTACTCATCCATTAGGACTAGTGGAAATTACGATAACCGACTTTTTATCTGTATGTGTTATCGTTAATATCATGACGGGTTCCACAATTTAAATTACCTGTGAGTCAAAGTATGAAACCTTACGTACCATTATTTATTAATAACAATTTTGAAGTAACTACATTTGGTAAATTTAATATTGTGTACTTATAATGGCCATATTAGATTTCCAATGGTGCATAGCAACAATCATATTTCGGTAGTAAGTACTAGGCAAATTTATTTTATTAAATAACAAAAACTATAAATATTGTTGCTTAATATATGTAATGAGGAATTATTTATTGATGATATATTTTTACTAGTAGATGATTTAGATGTCATAGTGTATCATATTTCGCCCATAAAAAATCATTTACTGGTATTCGGATATGCTTTATGTAGTGAGTTCTTAATAATAAAATGCAGCCCTATTTTTAGATTTCTCGGTGATGAGTTTTCTCCTGAATGTATTTGTTTACAATTGACAGACAGAAAACTGAGAATGTTTTGCATTCGTAAAGTTTTGAAATATTATTACCAATAACTTTAAATTAGAAATTCATTCCCAATATGTGTACGCATTTGAATTTGATTTTTAATACGTCGTTGCAATTCTCATCCGTATATTATTTACGATAAAACTGATAGAAAAGTTACAATATTTATTTATTTATATGCGAAATTGCTTTTAAATATATAATTAGTACATATTTTCAGATTATTTAATTTATTGGCATATTTTTCACGTGCTGTTTGTTCCAACGAAATATACCGAATTTTATTCAATTATAAACATTTTTGATAATTTATTTTTGTATGCTCAAGTTTTGCATTTCCCATACCACAGGTTAGCAATAGAGCGCGTTACAGTGTTTTTTCAGGTGTTCTGTTACCCTGAACAACTTAAAATATACATAAATAATAAATTACATAAAAATTAAAATAGAAATTATATAAACAAGAACATTGCAAATAATAATTTAATCATTCCTAATATCCCTGACAGACGACAGATTAAAGAAAAGCGCTAGGGGTAAGCTGTTTTTATGTTGCTAATTATGTTATGTGCCAGTATATTTATAAAAACTAATTTTAATATTTTTAGATAGAGGTGAACAAATAAAGAACAATGTAGACAAATAGTGATGAAGTTGTGTTAATAGATTTGTGGCGGAAACGAGCCGGAGACTTGCGACGTACTAAACGTAATTTACACACCTAAGCCGACATATCTGTGCAAATGGCGCTCAAATTTACCGCAAAAGAAGTACATGTTAAAATATGGAATCTTACACAAAAATATAGGTTAATATGTATCCACATAAAAGAAAAAAGTTGGGTCCTCGGGGGGCAGCCCATCACTGTGGAAACATTTTGATTCGGTCCATCAATTATCGGACTGACAGCAGCCAATACTGCTGAAGTATATGAATTATTTCCTGTGGTAAGCTGAGTTTTACACGTTTATTATTAAAATAATTTTTTCTTAAAACATATCGAAGTCAACAATACATTCGTTCCAGTCATCTATAGCTATACGATCACCAGAACCAATTTCGCCTGAACCTGGTAGCTCGACATCAGCAGCGGGTGCATCTACAAGTAAAAAGAGAAATTACATGGGCGAACTAATATAAGTGGCAAAAGAACAAAACGAATTACTGAAGACAGTGGTGGAGGATGGGAAAATATTGACTGAGAGTGTTGTTACTGTAATCGAAGAACAAAGTAGTAATACAAAAGAGTTTATAGGTATTATGAAAAATATTAAAAAAAAAAAATTAAATAATGTGATTACATGTAATAATAAAATCAATTTAAACTAAATATTAATTTTGGAAATGTATTGGAATACAAATAGCTACTGCGGAATGTAATGTGTTTTGTACCTTTTTGGAAACTCATTGCGATGGCATTCCTAATTGCTGTCGCTGTTAAATCATTTTCTCCTAATCTTGTTATATGATTGGGTTGACGTCTTGTTGCATCTTCTGCTGCGTCTTGAATAAAAGCTGAAAAAACTTCATCGTCCTCAATCTTTAGAAAATTGTGCAAAATGCAATACGCTCTTATTATAATATTAACATTTTTAGGAGATACTTGCAAGCCTCTTCCAATTTCACGGAAGCGCGCTTTAAGCTGACCAAAAGCGTTCTCGATCACTCGGCGACATTTGAACAGTCGGTAGTTATAGAGCTTTTCTACTGGAGATTGATTAGCCACATATGGGTATGGTTTCATCATGTCACGTGATAAACGAAAGGCTGAGTCGCCAATAAGAAGCACCGGTACATTGATGCCTTCAATTGCTTGGTTATTTTGGTCAAAAATACCGGCGTGCTCATGGAAATGTTTAAGAGAGCTCCTCTCAAATATATAGGAATTATTATTTCGTCCTGTGGATCCTTATGTACGTAAACAATTCTTCTACAAATCTTTTTAGTTCTCGTGGATGTGGGGGATGTGCACTAATGCAATCCGCAAGACTATCGCAAACGGCATGGCAAAAATCCAACACAATTTCGCCAGCAGTGCTGCGCCCAATGCCAAACAAACTAGCAACGTTTCTATATTCCGCTGCCGAACCCAATGAATATGGTGCAATAGGTACTCTTTTTTCAAGTGGGATATATCGCCGCATGTTGCTATCCATTTTACCGATATTTTTTACTTTTTTGCAAAATTTTTTGAAAGCGCTTCTAGTATTCCTTGAACCTTGCGTCCATAGCAGGGATATCGTGCGATTGTAATCCCAGCTCTTAAGCTTGCGTTACAATCATGAATTGCTAATAATAATAAAAAAAGTAATAAACAGATTTTTTCGTTATATCCTTTTTGATCTTCTAAGAACAACAAAATGGCCATTAATAATCTCCTCTTATTCATTTTTATTTCACTTTTTTTTAATAAATAAACAGAATTTACAATCAGCTGTGTCGGGGTGATCGACGTGTGTTTGCCGGTGTGCCAAATAAAATAAAAACTATTAGGATTTGGGTAACAATTCAGATTTGTATATTTAAGGGTATAATATTTGCATGTATATAGAGTGAGTAAGTTTGTCCAATTGTGTGGTTATGTGTGTGGGTTTATATAATTATAATTTAACTTATGGGTTATTTACAATTATAATTATAAATTTTGATAAAACCTGATTATGTTATTTATTCCCGCGTTGAGGTGATTCTGCTGCTGTTGTTTTTGTTGTTGCTGCTGATATTGCTGCTGCTGATTTGGCGTCTATATGTCCGTCCGCTGTGGTGATTCGTTTTATTGTGTYTTTCTGTTTGTTGGGTACTTCGCTGTTATGTTGGCGCTGTTGGGTGTTTTTTGCATTGTCCTCTAATTCGTATTTAGACGAGTTAGGAGGACAATGCAGGGATGTGTTCATTTGGTATGAACATCYCGGCCGCCTTGCAGGGTCTGCGAATAAAAACATTTTAATATCTATTTTGATATGGGTTGATGAGTATTATCATAAACGGGTTGGAGGTATACTTTGGGTTTAAATCGCACAAGCACCGGTCAAAGTCCAAYCGAGTGCGGTGTTTTGTGCGATCACGGTGCTGTTATCGGGGTTGAATAATCCGGGTTTCATTATTCTTGGGTAGACGTCAGCTCCCAGTTCCAACATGATGTTGTCATTCTTCCAGAATGTAGGGTCGGCTAGGACTAAGTGGTCGAACTTCTTAGTAATTTCGCCACTTAAGTCACGGTTATAGGGTCGGGTCGGTAAATCGTGCGTCAAAAGGCAGTTAACTTCGACATGCCAGTCGGAATCAGTTAATGATCCTATGACGACCTTACATATACGACGGGAGTGAAGGTACGTTTTCGGTAACCTCAATCTCTGAACCAATTCTGACGCAATTATAGTCACCTTTCGGGTCGGGTTAATTATGGGTCGTGTTTGATTCCATTTGCCATCGTGTTTAACTTTGATCATGACTGTTGGTATAAGGGTCGGCTTGGCCAGTAACGTGGGTAGATCGTTTTGTCTATGCAATCTTTCTTCGCTCTTTGATGTTTTTTCTGGTTCTTTGCAGAACAGCCTGGGGTGCCCATGTAGGGTTGAATGGTGTTCCCCATTACACGTGGCAGATCGTTTTGTACTTGTGCACTTTCGGGTGGAATGCGATCTGGCCAAGCAATTGACGCARTACTTATATTTAATGACTGCGTCGAACTTTTCGTTGATGTTCATTTGAGTAAATTTTGAACATGTTACCAGTCTATGATCCTTTTTGCACAATCCACAGGCAACGTGTTTATGTGTTCGTTTTGATGAACGGCTGAGAGTACGTCGGGCCGTGCAATGAGTATTTCCTCGTTTCTCTCAAATGGGGGAAAGGGTCGCTTTAAAGCAATGTAGGCGTCTTGCCAGAGTCCCTTCGTCGGAGAGTGGGCTGATGCTTCGGATCACACTAAGTGATCGCACGGTGAATGTGGGGCTGCTTTGGCGACTGCAAGCTGGCTTCATATTGGTTTGAGGGGTCATGTCACTATAAGAAAATAAGATTAATTATTTGGTAAAGTGACTACTTTGGTTATTGGACGGGTAATTGTTCCCTGAGAGGTACGTATGTCAACTACTCTTGCTTTATTGTCTGCACCGAGATACGTTTTTTCGATGCGACCAAGTCTCCACTCATTTGGGGGTAGTGTTTCTTGACGTACAACTACCATATCGACGTCTATATTGCGCTGAGGGTATTTCCACTTGTACCTTTTGTGGAGTTCTTTCAGATATTCTTCTTTCCATCTTTTGCAGAAGTGTTGATGGAGTATCTTCAGTTTCTGCCATCTTTGTGCGATGCTTAGATGTGCACCKTCTAAGTTGGGTTCTGCTGGGATTAATAAAGGGGTACCTATTAAGAAATGGCCTGGAGTTAAGGGTTCTAAATTTGTTGGGTCTTCACTTAATGGGCTTAAAGGGCGAGAATTCAAGCTACTTTCGATTCGGGTTAAAAGGGTAGCACTCCTGCTTCCCAGAGTCCACCCATGTGTAGAGCTCCTGGCGGATTAAAGTGCCAGTTGATGTTTTGGTGTGCTTCACTAGCTGTTAATTGAGTTTTCAATGACTTCATGAATTCTCGCCGATCTTTAATTAAAAGTTTGGACGCTCCAACGAAATTAGTACCATTGTCCGAATAGAGATCGGCG